CAACCTCCTCTTCAGTAATCTCGCCCTTTATCAACGCACCCACCAACTTAGAGAGTAGCATTCCGTCTTCTTCATCTCTCCCACCTTCCATCGCCTCCCTCTTCCTTCTCACCTCCCCAACCAACACCTTTTCGATCTCAGCTCTTGCTTTCTTGGCCCTTGAGAATTTAGTCCCTGGGAAGTTCACGGGAGGAGATAAAACACCTTCCAAGATACGCTCGAAAACACCAAACATTGTCTCTGGTTCGATCCCAATTCCAAACAAGCATTCAAGAACAATTGTGAAAGTAAGCATTTTTGTGGATCGATATAGACTGATTTCTTCTTTGTTTTGCCAGTTTTTCTGCAGGTGTTTCTGAATGGAGGTGCACATTCTTGGCACCATAGCCTGAAGGCCGGAATGGCTGAGGGTGGAGGTGACGATTCCACGAAGGCAGCGGTGGGAGTCTCCTTGTTTCTCCATGATGGAGTTCTTTCCCATCAATTCGACAGATGAAGTTGGCCATGAGCTTACCACCAATTTAAACTCATTGGACATGAAGAACTTATTCGCTGCAGGTCCATGTACCACCACTGTYGGTGATCCCATCAGCCTTGTTTTGAAGACTTTTCCATACTTGGCGATTCTGGGTCGGAAGAAGTTCTCAAACAGTTGATTGGTACGTTGAGCATTGTAAAACTCGATTGTTTCTCCAATCCAAGGGAGACCCATTTCACCAGAGGGTAGTTTCAGCTTGTTGGGTCGTTGTCTGCGGTTGTTTCTTCGAAGGAAGAGGATGAGAAAGATGAATGAAGCTAGCACAGAGATGAAGGTTAGAGCAGCCATTGATGGTTGATATGAAGTGTTCAATTGAGTTTGTTTGTTGGTTGTTAATGGATGTGAGATGATGGAGAGATAGATACGATGAGGATATGTATATATATAGGCAATCAAGCAAGGGGGAAATTAAGATTGCTGGTATTTAGTCAGTTGCAAGAGTCAACCATTATTATATATGTATGGAGTTGCTGTTGGGATGGCGGATGAGATCTGAAAGTCGGCCCGACTTAAAGATTCATACATCTGGCAGTGGCTGCATGCATGTGCTCCTCACCATGTATTCTAAACTTACATTACAACCCTCTGCATGACACCTGTTTACGTTTAGGTTTTTTTCTTTTTTGAGAAAACGTACAATGAACCTGAGAGAGCGATTCATTAACAATATTTAGTATTCTTTAAAGTCAATCGGCGGCTTATTTTTTCATGTTTTCATGACTGTTTACAAAGATAATAGGTTTCATTTCTTCGCTTTTAACGAACCTGAGAGAGTGATTCATTCATTAACAATATTTAGTATTCTTTATGTTGTTTAAAGTCAATCGGCGGCTTATTTTCTTCTGTGTTCATAACTGTTTAAAAAGATGATATGTTTCATTTATTCGGCACAATCAACACCGTTGAAAGATAAGTGTGTTATCCTCTAAAAGATACGACGATAGAGATATATTAGAGTTGAGATATCTAGTAGTTATCTACATATATAACTCGTCTTAATTTAAAGGATCATAACTAACAATAATCATAGACATCCTCTCTATTCACGGTAACAAAAGCATTTTGGTAGTTGTTTATCCAAACATTCATAAATGTTTATTACCGGTATCACAGCGGAATAAGTCACTAAAAGGCTGTTTGGTAGTTGTTGAATGGTTTGATGGAGAATGATTAAGTGGTCAGAATGATTAAGAGGCTTTCATGATATAGTGGAAAATGAAATATAATTATTTGGCAATTGTTTACAATGAAATTAGGGCGCTTAATGGTTAAGGGAGACCGATGATACAAAATCATTCAGAGGGTTTTAGAACCATTAAGAGTCAAACCTTTTTTTTTGCCAAACAAGATTCACATTTTAATGATTCAGATGTTGCCTCTTAATGGAACTATTAAGAGGTAAACAAATAATCTCTAAATTGTTTTTTTATAAGCAACCCCAAACATCCCCTTAATTTTAAAAAACAACACTATTATTAAATATTTATGAAGAATTAGATCAAAAGAGTCGGTTACAACCTTTAATTGTTTGATATTCAAAACATAATTACTATTAATACTATATATATACTATATTATAAAATATTTGACAAAAACTCTTAAAAATCATTTTTTATGCGTAAAGTACTGTTTATTAATGCATATTACTTAAAACTCAATATTGCAAGTAGATTGTGCATAAGTACAACTTATTAAAGCTCTATATCTGAATTCGTGTAACTAACTGCAGATAAACATAATCAAATACAGGATAAACATCTTATTTTAAATATAAAAAATCTAAAATATAATTAGGATAATTATTGAATTTAACAAAATACTTAATTATTATCTTTATAAAATTTATAATATTAAATCAAAAATAAATTATTTCATTGTTAAACTTAAATTAAATTATAATAAAAAATAAATTTAAGAAATTACATAAAAATAGAGCACTTTTAAATATTTGATTTAATATTAATTTCGTTTATTTTTACAAAAAATATAATATTTTATTAAAAAATAAAAACATTTTATTTTTTTCTCAAAAGTATATAAAATTGCATTAAATATCGATAAAACCAAAATATAAAACGAAACATTAAAATCAAGATGTATGTCATTACATTGCACGAATACCTTCTCATGTTAATTAACAAGGAAAGAAAAAGTCTTGAGCACATGCAGCGTATAAGATGAATCTTTAAGTCGGGCCGACTTTCAGATCTCATCCGCCATCCCAACAGCAACTGGATACATATATAATAATTAATGGTTGACTCTTGCAACTGTCTGAATACGAGCAATCTTAATTTCCCCTTGGCTTAATTGCCTATATATGCATGTCCTCATCATATCTATCTCTCCATCATCTCATACCAATTAACTTCAAATACAACCAACCAACAAACTCAATTAAACCCTTCCATCAATGGCTGCTCTAACCTTCATCTTTCTCATCCTCTTCCCTTCATAGAAACAACAGCACACCACGAACCCACAAGCTCAAAATACCCTCTGGTGAAATGGGTCTCCCTTGGATCGGAGAAACTATCGAGTTTTACAATGCTCAACACACCAATCAACTGTTTGAAACTTCTTATCAGCAAGTATGGAAAAGTCTTCAGAACAAGACTGATGGGATCACCATCAGTGGTGGTACATGGACCTGCAGCCAACAAGTTCTTTATGTCCAATGAGTTCAAATTGGTGGTAAGCTCGTGGCCAACTTCATCTGTAGAATTCATGAGAGACTCCCATCAATGGAGAAACAAGGAGGCTCCCATTGTTACCTTCGTGGAAGCGTCACCTCCACCCTCAGCCATTCCGGCCTCCAGGCTACGGTGCGCAGAATGTGCACCTCCATTCAGAAACACCTGAACAGAAACTGGCAAAATAAAGAAGTTAGTGGGTGCATTGATCAGAGGCGAGATTACGGAAGAGGAGGTTGTTGTTAACGCTGTTTTGCTGGTGTTTGCAGCTCACGATACCACATCTTACGCCATCACAATGACGTTTAAAATGCTGGCAGATCACCCTGACTGTTATTCTCTTCTACTAGAAGGTACCTTCAACAACTAGTACCATTATAAGCTACACTTATACTTATATCTATACTATATTATAAAACATTTAACAAAAACTCTTAAAAACCATTTTTTATGCATGCAATACTGTATATTAATACGTATTACTTAAAATTCAAGATTATAAGTAAATTTTGCATAAGAACAACTTATTAAAGTTTTATGTTTGAATTCGTGTAACTATCTGCAGATAAACATAATCCATATAGGATAAACATTTTATTTTAAAATATAAAAAATTAAAATATAATTAGGATAATTATCGAGTTTTAACAAAAATAATTAATTATTGTTTTTAGATGAAAATTATATTATTAAACCAAATATAAATTATTTCGCTATTGAACCTAAATTAAATTATAATAAAAAAATTGAATTAAAAAATTACACAAAAAATAGGAATTTTAAATAATTAACTTGATACTAATATCGATATATTTTTGTCAAAATTTTATAATATTTTCAAATTTATATTTTATTCAAAAATAAAAAACATCATTACTTTTTCAAAATCACATAAGATCATACTATAACATCGATTGAGATAAAAATAAAATGAAAATAAGAAAATAGTTGAATCACATGTGTTTTACACTAACCTCACGTACAAAATCACATGTGATTCACGCGGCCATAGGGTCCCCCAAATACTTTTTTGGCCATTGATGTAAAATCATATGTGATTTTGTACATAATTTGGTCATGTTCTTACTTTCTTAAATATGCGTATCAAACCCCTCTCTCTCTATATATATATACACACATCTGAGTGAGATCAATGCCAGTTTTCCTCATGTTTATGATCTTAATTCATTGGCAGAACATAAAGAGATTGGTAGAAAGAAAAGGGCAGGTGAAGGTTTGACGTTTGAAGAAAATGGAGTGTACATGGCAAGTAGCTCGTGAACAATGCGACTATGCCCACCCATCTTTGGCTCCTTCAGAAAAGCGATAACCAACATAGAATTCGAAGGATGTTTTATCCCAAAAGGGTGGAAGGTGCTATGGACAACATACGGAACACATTATGATGAAGAATGTTGATGAGTTTTAATCCAAGTAGATTTGCAGATCCAGTTCAAGCTTACTCTTTTATACCATGCAGATCAAGGTTACTAATGTGTCCCTTGGTTTTTTCAATTTTTTGCAGTTTTTTCTGAACCTGACCCCTTACATATATTATAAAGATGTTTGCAATGTGATGTATATATAAGCCAAGATGAATTCATTTTAAGTCACTCTATTTCCTCTATACAACTAACATATTTCATCCAGCACCCCCAATTAGCTAGAATCAATTAAAATCAATGGTCGACCGCATCCCCTAAGCCTTAACCAGCACGCCAAATATCAAGTAAATTGGTATCAAAATAAAAGGAAAAAGCACTGGAAGTTTTTCACTAATATGGAGGAAAAAAAAACTAAACAAGAATCAAGTAAACTTGATTGCATTTTGATACTACCATATTTTTAATCGATTTACACATTATGATCCCATAAACAGAGAGAAATTTGTTTCTAAAAACATTGAAGGGTTTAGATTTGTGAATCAAGCTGGTTGAGCAGAAAGAGAATCTTGGAATATATGACAAGAAGTAGCCCAAAGTTCCCTTGAAAGCTTGAGGTCATAAGAGAGTGCAGAAGAGTCGACAGTCCTACCATTCCCACCAAAAAAGTATAACCCTGATGTCTCCTGCATTCCCAATTAGAACTTTTCAACTTCAAGCCTCTTGGCAACGGCATTCTAAAGAGGGTACAAGGGATTTCAGAACAACTTACTGGAGGTGCTAAGGCTGCATCAAGAATCGAAGAGACACCAGCCTCAGGCGACTGCAGAAGGCCTAGAACCCCCAGGACAAGTAAAGCAACCTGTGAGATGCACCATGGTACTTCTCGCATGATGTCGGTTTTCACAGCTCCAGGATCCACAGCACTTGAGTAAATCAAGAAACCAAATTAGCAGACTATAGTTGGAATGTCTTAATTCCCCTTCAACTTGATTTACATGTTGTAGTAATGGTGAAGGGGAAAAAGGCAAGTCCAGCTAAAATTTTGCTCAAGAAAGAACATTGCGATGATTGATTGCACCCGAAAAGAAAAAAATGTTGCAATTATTTTAAATGAAAGTGGGAAGGTTATGAATACTTATTGATCAAATAGGGCTAGTCTGTGTGAGGGCAATCTTTCTTTTTATGAATATGTGGGACAATCAGAAAAACATGGGGATGCTTAACATGGAATCAAGTATAAGAAAATGAAACACCAACAGAAATGGAAAAGCAGGAAATATTTACATTACTGAGATTGATTGAGATCCTTCTGCGAGGTGAAGTTGTTGATGGAGCTCATATGAGAAAAGTAACATACATACTAAAGACAAAAAATGGAAGAAGTTATAAACGAGTAAAGGAGATATTTAACTGACTTCAAAACTGTTAACTTTGCTTACATTTGGACAGCTCATAGATCTCAGCACAAGGGTAATGTTTAAGTTTAGAAAAGCGCTTGCCGGAAACAGTCTCCTTCTCTGCCCGAAAGCCAGATACTGGAGAACAAAGGAGAGATATGCAATTCCCAAGTTAAAATTCGATAAAAAAAAAAACTAGGAAACACATAATTACATGAAAATAATAAGCGTTTCCTATGGCTCATTTTTTAACTAGAAGAACAAAGGATGAAAGCTTATATGCATATTCAACCGGACATCTACACCATCCCACACGTTCAATAATAAAACAAGCTTCAAATAAGTAAAACAGTTGAATAAACTCACCGTTCCGATGTGTAAAGGACGTGAGATTAATAATGCGTGAAGGAACTGGACTATTCTTCAGAAGTGGGAGTAAAACTTCTGTAAGAGAGAATGCTCCAATGTAATTAGTCCCCATCATCCTGGCAAAAGAAACAAATATAATATGAAGTCAAACCCATGGGTATCTAAAATCAGATAATTTCAGCAAATACTTTAAGGTAAAAGAAGAGAATGAAATCCCAAATTCTAATGCAGATGTCACAAAGAAAAGCAAACATACACTGATTTATTCATTGTAGCATCCAAAATGTTCTAATATGGCCAAGCTAGGTACTGCCATTTTAGCAGTCACCATTATCAATATGTCTCTATCAGTCTTCATCACTTACTACACTACCATAAAAGTGTTTTGTGTGTGTCGGTAGTTATGTTGCTTGAGAAGGTAATGAGGCCAAGAAGAGAGATGCATGTCAAATATGCCACACAAAACAAATTGATTACCAAATAAAGTCGACTAATATTACTTTTAAAACCATGGGAAGAGACAAGATCATTTACTGGTCATGGCCTTCGGTAGTGAGTCTACTTGTTGTTGCCAGTATCCCAGCATTATTTATCAGGAGTTGAATTGAAGGATGCATATCCGAGTCCAAAAGCCATTGGTCAAGAGATTCTTTAAACCTCATTATTGAAGATAAGGATGATAAGTCAACTTGAAAAGCTTTGAGCTGCACCTCTTCACTTTGACTTCTGATGTTGGACATGACCTGCCAAACAGTCAAGAAGGAAGTTCAAGACGAGCATATTTGAGGAAGATGATACATAAGAAGCCTCTGGCTGGAATCGACCTTTGATAACTTATGAGAGGATCTTCCAGCTGCAGGCATGTAATGAAAACTTCAGTTATATATATCTGATGATGCAGCAGAATGAAGAAGATGAGAGTGAGACTTGCAAAAATTAGTTTTCAACAAAAAAGAGAACTGGGGTCAAGAACAAAACCTATAGCAGATGTCCGATAAATATTAGGGAAAAACATAAGTGCAAGGCAAACAATGCCCACTAAATCTGTATCACTAGTGCACGGTTGCACTACTGATCTCTAGTAACTTCTGAACTTTTATCTCAAATTTATGCAGAATGTAAGTGCTAATCATTTATGTTGATGTTCAGCTTTAAATGCATGTAGCCATGTGAATAGATGCCTTCAGCTATCCTTACTATGAATAAAACTAGACAAAGAACTAAGCAGCTGGTTATAGAGCATGAGAAAGATAACACACCAAGAACCACACAGAATCCTTCCCTTGAAAGAGCCAGAGCCGCTGCAGCGCCCAAGCCAGATGTTGCCTTCAATTAGTGAGCCATACACATTGAAACATAAGCTAGACTGAGATACCCTTCAACAACTGAAATTTTCATATAAATGTTGTAGCAAAACAAAATAGCACTGGGTTTGATCTCCGACCAGTTTCAAGTGTCCACCAAAGATGTACATATTTTTCGAACTTCTTAAGCATCCATCTTATTCATATTGATGTCTTAAAAGTGAGTTTGCCAATTTTGGTTTTGATGTTTTCTCATATTTCTCCATCCACTTTTTATTAAAAAAACAAAAACTAAGCATATTGTTTGTAATTAAAAGAAACATTAATCAAGTCCTTACACCAGCAATGATGAGCCAAAGAGGTGCTTACACCAGTGATGATGCAGATTGGTAGACGTCTGCCAGATGCTGATGATGTTATTGGGGGTAAAGGTGAAACGGCACAATGATTATATGTAGATTTCTGGGTCATGCTTCGAGTGAGCAGCTGTATATAGGAGATTATAAGGGAGTATGTCCAAAGAAAGGTCATTCTCCAAAATGACAAGGTGCAAGCAAAATGCAAAGCTTCCATTAAGTCCTTTGATGACATCTCCTCTATAAGCTGGAAATATGAATTTCAAAAGATTAGGACAACATAAGTTTATCTTATTTCATGTACATACCATTGACTCATAAGTTATACTAGATCAACCAAGAGGTTGTTTATCTGTTTACTGACACTTGATGAACTTCTATAGATAGATGAAAACAAGTCATGTGGGCAGAAGTTTAGGTTACTTTGTTCATATACTATGGCTTATGCATGTATACTAGAGCAACCCCCAGATTCCCTTTATGTTGACACTACCCTCATTGATGAACTTTTATATCTAAATGGAAACTTTTCCCAAGTGTCACTCTACCGAGAATGCTTTAAGATGCAGATATCAATAGAGATCTTTTCTGGTAAAAATCATATGAAAACGTCTGGACAACAAACTATTCAGTACTCATGGAGAGTATAATTGATTTCTAATAAAAATCAGAGTGCACGTTGTAACATCTGATAAATATATATGTATACACACACACACACAAAAACAGAGGTGATAGCAGATACAGTAGCAAGGACACAGTTTGTGGCTGGAAAGAATCGTCATTTTTGGCTATGTGGTTGTACATCATCAGCAGGCAACCCGTAGCAAGAACCAGCATCATTCAGTAAATACATGTAAATACAGAATTCTTAACATTCAAACCTCATAAATTCGCTAAAAAGTTAAAACATTTATAAATAAATAAAAAACCTTACAATATATCTGAGACGAAGACGTAGCAACAGTAATAGAGGTCTTGGAGTCTTCTATCGTCGTTAAAGAGACCATCTCAGATAAATATTTATGTTTTAAGCTCCGAAATTAGAATATGTATGCTTCGCAAAAGCATGATAAGTCAATTTGGGCCTTCTGGTTTCGTTTTAGGTGACCAAATTGTGGGTGTGCGACGAAGATGAATTAACTGATGCTTAGGCCTCATTCAAGTCTCAAATGAATCATATGCTGAATATAATTGAATTAGAATCGAAAATCCGTGAGAAATCAAATAAAAATCGTGGAAGCACAAACCTTAAACCCTCTTGAATGGCAGTTCTGGATTGGTACTCAAATGATCTAGTTAGACTTAACGACTGGTATCGAATAATAAAGTTATTCGAACAAAGAAATAAATGAAAATCGACTACAAACCTGTTAATCGAAGCTCCTTGACTTGTTTTCGGCTGTTCTTCAGGAGTCACGACAAGACGATGAAGTCCAAGGTCCTAATTAAAAATTTGAGAGAAAAGAGGCCACAATTTTTGGGCCGAGTAAGTGGGCTTTAGTGTATATAAAATGTAGTTATTTCATTTGGAGTTTTGGAGTTTGGACCATGAAGTGATTAATCGTCTTTTTGTTAGCAGATTAATACAGTTAATTATCTATACTATATTATAAAACATTTAACAAAAACTTTTAAAAATCATTTTTTATGCGTAAAGTACTGTTTATTAATGCATATTACTTAAACTTCAAGATTACAAGTACATTGTGCGTAAGTACAACTTATTAAAGTTTCATATCTGAATTCATGTAACTAACTGTCAATAAACATAATCAAATACAAGATAAACATATTGTTTTAAATATAAAAAATCTAAAATATAATTAGGATAATCATCAAGTTCTAACAGAATCCTTAATTATTATCTTTATAAGAAAATTATATTATTAAACCAAATATAAATTACTTCGTTATTGAACCTAAATTAAATTATAATAAAAAATTGAATTAAAAAGTTACACAAAAAACAGAAATTTAAAATAGTTAATTTGATACTACTATCGATATATTTTTGTCAAATTTTTATGATATCTTCAAATTTATATTTTATTCAAAAATAAAAACATCATCGTTTTTTCAAAATCACATAAGACCATACTATAACATCGACTGGAATAAAGAACAAAACGAAATATTAAAAATCAAGATGTATCTCGTTGCATTGCACGAGCACCCTTCTAGTATTATAAGAGTATTCATATAATGCAGCGAGATATATCTCAATTTTGATGTTTCATTTTATTTTGTTTTCTATTGATGTTATAATACGGTTTTATGCGTTTTTGAGAAAAAAATAATGTTTTTATTTTTTAATATAGATTTGAATATATTATAAAATAATGGAAAAAAAATATATTGATATTAGTATCAAATTAACTATATAAAATTTCTTGTTTTTTGTGTTATTTCTTTAATACAATTTTTTATTATACTTTAATTTAGCTTTAATAACGAATTAATTTATTTTTAATTTAATAATATATTTTTTATAAAGATAATAATTAAGTATTCTGTTAGAACTCAATAATTATCCTAATTATATCTTAGATCTCTTATATTTAAAATGAAATGTTTATCATGTATTTGATTATGATAATCTGCAGTTAATTACACAAATTCAAACATGGTACTTTAATAAGTTGTACTTATGCACAATTTACTTGTAATCGTAAATTTTAAGTAATATACATCAATAAACAGTACTTCATGTATAAAAAATGTTTTTAATATTTTTTGTCGAATGTTTTAAATATATATATATACTATATTATAAAGCATTTGACAAAAACTCTTAAAAATAACTTTTTAAGCATTATGTACTGCTATATAATGCTAATTACTTAATTTTCAAATTTACAATTTCTCAATACTTGGATACAACTTATTGAAATACCTAAGAGGGATTTAGATAACCTCCATCTCCCATTAAGAGCTAACATTCATCCGTATCCTTATGATTCGCTAACATTCATTCATATCCTGATATATCTATCAATTTCAACAGATTTAGAGATGAATATACATATGATTTCAATAGATTTAGAGATGGATAAAAGTGTAAAGCTTAATTCACCCTCCCCCATCGGGAGGCAATCTGATTCCTAACTCTGATATCATTTTTAACATCTCAAAGCAACTGTACCAAATATCGTCAGTTGTTCACACCTGAACTTACAGTTTTAAAACATGTATGAAGTATCTTTAGTTAAATACGACATTAGGATCTCTCCCAATGAATGTGTTATTTTCAAGAATTGTATTGGAACGTAGTAAGAAACACGAATTAAATGGAGAGTAGGTGTTGGCATATGAGTCTACAACACAATAAATTTGAATAGGTGTCTACAACAAATAAGTTTGATTGTCGTTTTCCTACTTTTTATGCCATTTCCCTTTCACATTGATACGATATATCACCAAATAAAATATGCGCTACTCGATTCATCGCATGCATGCATCATCATCTTTATAATCTACGATTTTTAACGTGTTCATAATAATTGATCCAATAACATGGAGTGGTTGAATCCAAGTTACGTGATCGAAGGCACACTTAGAAGTATCAAAAATTCTAAAGTCAAATAATTCATCTGAACGGAATGAGATTGGTGTTAAATATTTTTCAGGTTATTTAAAAATTCTTAGTAAGACACCATTAAAAATTCTTAGATATATATATATATATATATATTGTTTTGCATATGAAACAATAATTTATTGTTTTTATTTGAGTCGTGCATCTACTAGACTAGGACATAATTTTTTCAGTATATGAAGGGAACTCCCTCTTCTCTCCAAGAACTCTTTTAGATAGTAAAATCTGTGGGGTTCCACATATTATTATATGTTATGAGAGTTAATTTCTTTCACTCTAGGGACTCGACACTTTAGGACATTTTGTACTCCAATGATTTTTCAGTATTTTTGGAGACCTTGTTACATATATATGATTCTAGATCAACTAGACAAGTAATAAGAAATACACACACATAGGGGTTAAATTATATGAGGACCAATCTTAATTATTAACTGAAATATAATTAGGGCTACGAAAGTCGATGGTATTTTTATGATATTTTTGAAATTTGAAGCTAATTAAATAAATAGTAAATTGAAAAGGCATTTTAGGTATTTTACATCCAATACATAGTCAGTAGTGACAACTATCAAAATTATATTAAATTTTAAATCAAAAATATATCAAATCAAATAAAGTTTTAAACCAAAAAATTTATACAAAATTGAACGTTTTATTTTCTTTAATTTGACACGGATATCATTATTTATTGTATTTATTTTAATATATGTGTGTGTGAGAGAGAGATAGATATATTTTATATTTTCTTACATAAAGAGATTTGCATTAGGTTGATGAGTGTGGTTGGGGTAGGGGTAGGGGTAGGGGAAGGAGTTGTCATTAAATACCGTAAATGGAATTGAATTTTGTATAGTATAAAAATGGGACCAAGAGAAATCTTGTTTTTCAATTGACAGAACATTAAAAATGTAACAGCAGAAGTAGTTCAGTTTCAGAGCCATTATAATTTACACAGTGGCACATGAACTTTCCTGCAGGAGTAATGCCATTGTCATTGCCAATTGCCATTGCCAGCTTATAGCCAGATCTAACATCCTTCAAACATTTCATCATCCTTTTAATTATTTCATTGACTCTATCTCATTTTCAGTCCAATTAATTTATGGGTTTGAATTCATCTATAAACATAAAGTAACGGTTTAGATAAAAATTGTTAATAAAATGTCTTATATAATATATGGAGTTTTGTACAGATTTGAAAACCCATGTTTCGATCATATTATGATTTTGAAAATTATTGTCATGATTCCATACACTCGGAATTAATAAACGATACTCAACAGAAAATCAATCAAAAATATTGATTTGATTATGTTGCATTACGTTCAGTCAAGGTTATGTATGCGTTAGGATTGGAGTCGGCCTCTTGGATTTGGGTTAGAATTGATTATAGGAGTTAATGATGATCATGACTTATGAAATGATATGTGAATTGGGATTTATTAGGGTTCATTCATGGACGGACCTACCATGGTGGTTACGGTGGCATGTGTCACCTTGTTATTTCTCCGTTGAAGGATAAAAAAAAATTAGGTTCGTGAAAGGTACAACTGTATTAATCTGTAGTGTGCCACCGGATGTATTTTGAAACTACAATGAGAACAAGTTTTATTTGGTAGAGTTGGTTTGCAAGGCTTTTGTTCCACCTCATACCCAAGTTCGAATCTTTTAGTGTTATTTTCTTAGTCAAATGATGTCACCGATTGAAAAAAATTCCGTATATTTATTTCTTATAGTCAAACGGTACCATTGTTTGAAATTTTTTCCTCTGTAGTTTTTTCTTATAATCAATTGGTGTCACCGTTTGAAAACAAATCTGGGTCCGTCCCTGGGTTCATTGTTTTTCGTTATGGTTATGGGTCTTAGATCAAGTTATGGTTAGGATTAGGGTTAGCATCAATCAATTAGAGTTAATTATCTTGTCTTGGTTTTTAGGGTTAATTTCATGTTGGAGTTGTAGATATGATTCCAATAAATTAGGAATTTACCAGGGTTTTACCAAGTCTCAACTATATATGCTATTTATAAAATTTCTTGTTGTTAGGACTGGTGTTTTCAATAAGAGACTTTGAGGGCATTTATTGGTTCACTTACTTGATTGGTGGAGCATAAAGGACCAAGAAGATTAATCATACCTAAGGATGTTTGCGGTCTGGTTTGGACGGTTTAATCCCTCAAACCACAAATCAAACTGTAATGATGGTTTAGAAAAAATTTCAAACTGAACGGTTTGGTAGCAAGTGACCAAACTGGTTAAACCGGACAACAAAAAAGCGGTCTAGTCTGACAATTTGGGGTTCTTATCGGCTTTAAACTAAAAAAAAAAGCATAACATCTATGTTTAAAATGACATTTCTATCAATATAACATTATTGAAAAATACGATATCGAATTATAAGAGGCACAATCTATCTCTATAACTAGAAAAAAACTGACCAAGTTAAAAAAAGGTTAACAAATCCACTAACAGTAGTTTGAATTTTGGACAAACATTGAGTAAGTTGAATGGCATTTTGGAAATTTGTACTTGATTTTTGAAGGAATTTGGAATTTTGCCAATGTAAATGAGGTATTCAATTGCGAAATGAAAACTAAAAACATAATGTCTTAAAAAGAAAAATAACGTTGAGCCTACAACATGAAAATTAAATATAATTGGTATATGTGTATTTTTTTGGCAGTCGATTCGGTCCAGACCACTCAAAAAAACTTTTAAACCCTAGACCAAACCGAACCAAACGGTTCGGCTATTTTTCAGACCGTAGGCCGCTCAAACCGTAAAAATCGGTCCGGTTTGACTTGGTTCAACCGGTTTGTGCGGTACAACGGTTTTTATAGAACACCTCTAGTCTTACTTGCTAAGTGAAGTAGAAAACTTCTACCCAATTAATATTTATTGGCTAAGATGCTTACAAACATTTCATCTTGATGACCGAGAATGTTGTCCAACACGGTAATTAAGCAAAGATAATAACTTATGTCAATAAGCACTTAACTGCTAAGCTTTTTGTTAACGACCCCTTAATCCTCCACACATATTGAAATAACATGTATGAGAGAAACACATGAGTTTGAGAGAGATGAATTTAGAAGAAAGTAGCCAAGTATGTGCAATCATCGAATCCTAAATTTGAGGGTTTGGGATTACCAAATTATATATATTGGGCAATTGTCAAAGTAGGAATATGAGAATATATAGTCATTTATTGTTACGATTTTAAATGAGTTTTTAATTAAATTTATGATTTTTAAACCTATTAAAAATAACATGAAGATAGGTTTAATTAAAATCTCATTTACTCTTATATATACTTAAAGGTCCCGATCGAGTTGAAATGAAACACAAGGATCCCAAAGAGGCAAAGCCAAAAGTTGTTTGTTTTCATGAAATGTCAAGTCAATTCTAAAAACAATCACAAATAAATGAAGAGCTCTTTGTTGATGCACTTCAAAGCTCAATACTCGTGCATGGCCAAGAATTTGATCAAGAAAAAATAAATGAAGAAGATGAATAGGCATGCATTAAAGATAGATATATATATATATATATATATATATATATATACTGGTTGTGTACTCGTGCAATGTGGCGTGAGCCGTGAATTTTAACGATTTTGAAGTTTCACTGGTTTTATTAGAGAAGATTTAACAATGATATAAGTTACATTTGGTCTTTACATACTAATACAATTTGAATAAATAAGAGTTATGGTTTCAGTTACAGTCTAGCGATGAAAAATTTTGTATGACTGTTTAAAATCCAATATATTAAAAAAATCAACATATTTAAACGACTTCACAAATGCGTTCGATTTACACCAAAAGCAAAGAAACAAGAGATCGAGAGTGAGACCGAGAGTTCTAGAGCAATTGAATGAGAGATGAATATGATAACTTTTAATAACTCATGGTGAATATCAATTTGAATCTCACCTTGGAGGGATGATGAGAAGACATAGAGGTATGAGAGGGTGAAGGCATGAGTGAAATGTGTTAAAAGTATCTTGAGAACATAAAAAAATAAGGTAATAATGTGCATTGGTAACTTGTATTATATGTTATTTTAATTATAGATTAAGAAATTTTAAGACTGAATGCATAAAGTAGTAGTACTTAATGCATTGTGAGTTGTTTTTAAGACTTTTAAGACTTTATGCATATGTATAGTACTTTATACATTAAAAATTGTTTTTAAGACTTTTAATAAATCTGATTTATAAGACAATATATATATATATATATAATAGAGAGAGAGAGAGAAAGGGGGTAATCATTTGAGAACTCGATGATTTATGAGAACTGTGAGATCCAACTACATGTATGGGTCTAGTGAATAATCACAATGTAAATTACCATGTCTAGATTTAATGTTTGAAACATAAAACATCCATATCTTGGATCAATAAGTATTAACAATATCAATTACCATATTTGAGTTTAATGTTTGAAATAGAAAACATATTGATTTGAGTTCAGTAAGTAATCACAGTTGAATTACCATGCATGGGTTTAACATGTATGGTTGTAAATGGATCTCACGGTTCTCCAAAAATATAGAGTTCTTCCATGAATAGCCTTATATATATATATATATATATATGTGTGTGTGTGTGTATGTGCGTGTGTGGAGGAGAATAATTGTGTGAGAAGAAGGGTTAAGATGAGAAGTGTAAGAAGAGATTTTGATCCTTGATCACCTTTAATCTAAAACCTACCCATGAATCGTGCTTAACACGAGGATTGATCTGATGCATCTTTGTGCATCTCATCCTAACGTGTATCCAATGGTGGAGATAATTTGTTGCATCTATCACCTTAACTCTCTTCACCATAACCTAACCCTATATAGGGAAGGGTACAAACAAGAATACTTTCATCTTACAAAAACATGAGAAAATCTTTTTAATACAGTCAATGACATGTAATGCTATATGGCCCGTCACATATAATACACCTATGATACTAAATCAGATACCTAGGCGACCTTTGGCGCTACCTAATTTGTGGGCCAAGTTGTCCGCACCACATAATGTGTAATTACTACATGTGATAAGAGTAGTTCTTGATGTGATACTATAATCCATCACCTATGATAATAAATTAGAGATGCCGATGTCCTTTGAGGCGACCTATGATAATAAATACAATATTCCATGCCATACTTCTGCGAATACCCGTTTGCCACCAATCTTGCTTTGTATTTCTCTACGTCGATCCCTCATCCCATTCTCATCAAACTTTGTTTTATAAATCCGCTTAATTAACACCAATTGCCTTTGCGATCCATTCGCAAGTCCACTAAGCTTCGTGCATGTTTTTTTCCCATGGAACCAAAGAACAAGTTGTAAACCTGATGAACAAACCTCTGCAAGTTGACAATTTTGAAATGAAAAGTTCATAAAGCAACTAGAAGTTCAAAAGCATTATCAAGAATTAAATTAACTTGCGTCCCACCAATTAGTTTATGGGAAGAGAGGATTCAAGAGGCCCGTAAGGATCAAGATAAAGACGAATGAGCCAACTTGATATTTTGGTATTATCGTCACAAAGAAGAACTTTCGGATTTTTCTTATCTGTATCTTCAGAGCAGATTACGGTTTGTAGCTATAATTATCCATGCAAATTAGGGATTAGTAGTTTTAGTTTTACCAAGTCTAGGTTTGCTTGGTAAACTATGCTCTTAGCTCGTAAGATCCCTTAGGTTAATTCAACATTTTTGGTTAGGAGACTTGATTAGTCCTCATACTATTGTTGCATTTGTGTGGCTACTCAAAAGCCAATTCTCTTTGTTGATAGAAGAAGTCAAATATATATATATATATATATACATATATCATTCCTGTGCTATTTGCATTTGTATTTGCAAATTCTTCGCCCTCCAGGAGTACTTGGAGATGAGGTTTGTACATGTGTTAAACTGATTGAATGCATTACACACTTGGACAGAAGAAAATTCCCACAAGTGAGAGCCATCACATGCTTGAAGGGACACCCCAACTCCATAAGGAAACCAATTCGTTGTGATGGAGAGAAAATAAAAAGCATTAGTTTCATTTCAGGGAAAACAAAGGAGAGCAATGAATGAGGTCTTAAATGCATCCTGCAAAACATCAACTACCCATTCTCACTCATCCATAACTCCATCTGTATGTCTTTTTGTATATATAACTCACTCCAAACCCTTTCTTCCTCTGTACTACCATCCATCTCTCTTTCAAGCAATCGATAATGGAGAGATCAAGAAGAAGCCAAACCAGTTGCTTGCTTGTTTGTGGTCTTGTTGCAGCTTTGCTTTCCCAGAACTTTGTTTTTCTTGCTGCTTCTTCATCCTTTCAAGATGAAAAGAACTTCTATTTCCCTCCAATAGACCCGAATGTTGGATCTCCACCGGTTGCTCTCAGTCCCCCCATTGTCCCTTCTCCACCGATAGGTACCAATCGCCGCCCTATCCTATCACCACCCCCATGCACCACCATGTGAGGTGACATGACTTATCTGACACTTTAATTTTGCTTATTGTTTTGCAGGTTATGGACCCTATGGTACTCCACCTCCTACTCGTGGCTCAGGAGGAAGCACACCACCGGTTCATCATACACCATCTCACGGTGGTGGTGGCCACCACCACCACGGAGGAAGCCCACCTGTCAACTGTGGAAACCCTACACCTCATCACTCACCACCTAAGCATGTTGACCCTTCTCCTGTACCTCCGACGCCTAGTACTGGCCATCACAACCCTTCCCCAGCTCCTCCAACAGGCGGATATCACTACTACCCACCACCCAGCAATGGCGGCTCTGTACCTTCATCACCACCAATCGTACTTCCTCCAACCACTCCTGGTATCCCATTTCCATCATCACCTCCATTTGACCCGCATTCACCCCCCGTCATTGGCGGCACATGCGAGTAAGTAACTAACCACTTGCACTTTAATATAATTTAACCAACATGCATTCGTTTTCAGACAATAATTTCTTAAAGAAATCAACAACACATGTTTTCCTCTATAACTGCAGTTTCTGGAGAAACCACCCCGGGATCATCTGGGGTCTGTTTGGGTGGTGGGGAACGACGATCGGTTCAGCTTTTGGTGTAGCTACTCTTCCCGGAACCGGAACCGGAACAGGAACCGGAACCGGAACCGGAGCTGGAGCTGGAATCATCGGACCACATCTGAACTTGCAGGAAGCACTGTCAAACACCAGAACCGACGGCATCGGTGCACTCTACAGGGAAGGAACTGCTTCCCTACTAAACTCCATGGTCAACAAGAACTTCCCCTTCACAACCAGCCACGTGAGAGACAGTTTCGTGGCTGCCGTTGGCTCCAACAAGGCTGCCACAGCTCAGGCACGAGTGTTCAAGCTCGCGAATGAGGGTCATATGAAACCTAGAGTCTAACATATGACCATTAATTTGTATGTTTGAAGTTGAATTGCTTGTTAATTAGTATTCACTGGTTTTGTGTCGAGTCTTTACGTTGTTTGGATGCTGCTGCTTGTTATTTAGTTCTCTTAAAATTCTTGTCGATTATGGTGTTGGGGGTTTAATTTCCTCATTAATTATTTATCATGTCCATTCTCCAGTTTTATACCATATCTTACACAGATTAATCATATATCAAATGTGTTTTGATTAATCTGTGTAACAAAATGTAGCTCTATTTGCAATATAGATGGACCATGTCATTAATTAATGAGTCATTCTTTTTTGTTTTATTTCATCTTTTATTATTATTCTAATAAATACCCACGTGCTATATATAAACTATCTTTGTACCATGAAAAAATAAACGTCAAACCGATTAAATCGATGCATATTGTACAAAATTTAATAGAAAAACATCACTTGTGTTGTTGGATGTAGCGAAAATTTTATCTTCCTTTGAGTTCGAATCGATTCTGTCAAATTCTTTATGACCATGAAGATAATTTGTGTTTACTCTACATCATTCATGGTCGTCCGAAGGATTAGTCGGTAAACATTCATGATTAGCGAAAATAATTTTATAGAAAAATAAATGTCTAACGGATCACCTTGGTATATGTTTGGCATTTTGATCTCTATTTCACAGGGTTATGAATAATGTTTTATTAATTACAGATCGTTATCTTAGATTATTCTGTCAATGGCTGAAGACAAACTACATTCTTTAACAAATTTATCATGTTTATTAAATTATGACCTAATGTTATTTAAAAAAGACCTTGAAAATGTTAAGAACCATACAAACGTGTATAGTTTCACAATGGGGTCTATTTAAGGGAGAACTGATTAGTTTGTGGTAACCGTGAGATCTAATGTGAACCACCCGTTTGATATATTTAAGAATATTTCTTAAATAAGCTAAAAGAGTAATATAGTAATTTTATTTTTGACAACTGATCAAAGTATTTAGTGAAATTTTTTAGAAGGAAATATTTAATTAAAATTAGTTACTTAATATATCAATTACCTAATATACATCATATTTTAAAGACATTTGTAAACCAAAATATATAGCATAGTGATAACGTTCACAATGTTTCACGTGTATCACAATGTATTTTCTTTGTTTTGTGAAATGTATCATAATGTACATTTTCGTTATTTTCATTGTTTTACAAAGAGTATCACATTATGCATCTTGTATATATACATGGGTATCACAGTGAATATCGTTTGTAGTTATCACACTACGTATCATGTGTTCACATAAGTTCCATCATGATAAGGTTTGTAGAATAAAATTCGCCGAATAGAGGAAAGAAGAGATATGAGAGAATATTTATAAAATTCCTAAAATGCTCTTAAGTAATAATTTAAGTTAAAATTACCAAAATTATTAGTTTCTTAATTTAACCTTTAATTTGTGATTCAAATTAGATCTCATGATTAAAAAAAAACAATCCTTATTTGATTAGACCCCGTTTTAAATATAAAAAAAATTAATATCCATAAATTTTACAGATATTATGAAACAAACATATAAACAATAATATAATATTACTTTATATTATAAAAAGTAATATCATCTTAAATTCTGCTTCATTTACATAAAAATTGGACATACTTTGGTGGTGATTGGTTTGACTAATCTGGTTTGACTGTGGTCAGTAGTGCATTTAAAGGTGCTATAAATTAAAGTAGTTTTGGTCAGAGGCATTACGGGGCTTTGGTTGATTACAGCAGTTAGGCACAAAATGGTAATTTACTCTCTTTTAATTGGAATTTTTATATTATTTTGTAAAATTAAAAAATAAAAGAAAACTAAATATTTTTCTTTACAAAAATGTTTTTTTTATCAACTAAATTAAATTATTATTATAGTAACTTTGAAAACCATAATACAATAATTTTGAAACCGAATTACAAAATTAATAAAATATATTTTAACCAAATAATGTGATATTCAATAAATACATAATGATTATGAAAACCGTAATAGAGTAACTTTGAAAACCATAATACAATAATTTTGAAACCGAAATACAAAATTAATAACATAAAATAAATGTTAATGTCTCAATATATTAATACATAAATATCTTATCACTGTATGAGTCACTCTTTGTGCTATTATCCCCGTCCTCTTGTGATGGTTGTTGTGGTGGGTTGGTGATTATTGTGGTGGTTGTTATGGTGACTGTTGTGCTGGTTGTTCCGCCATAACTAACCTAAATAATGTTTGTGTGTCTATAACCGGTTGTCAGGTAAAGAGGTATATAATTGATGCATGAACTGACTAAAATCACGTATTATATCAAAGACATTCTCCATCTCATCATTAACAAGGCATTTTCTGGCAAACATAAGCTAGCTTATTTTTTTTATACAAGTTTGGATGAATATAAGCGAGCTTATAAGCTAATTAATTTAATATATCTATTAAATAATGTCAATTCAAAAAAAAATGTCATGTATTCTTTTCAAGATAGATATTTTATTTATGAAAAAAAATGCATAAATTCTTATTTTCCTAGTCCAAAGAAATATATTTTTTGAACATTTTTTTAAATGTTAGGGAAGTAAATTATGGTCCACAAGTTTTCTTAATATTGTTATATTAATGAATAATTTAAATTTGTTTAATTAATCTATTATATTTATTAAATAACATGTAAAGTTATTTTTTTAAAGCAAATGTTGCAATAAGAGATGTCATGTCAACAATATATTACACATGGACAATAAGGTGGCATAAATATCTGATATAATAGATAAATTTAAATCAAAAGGCTACATACTGTTGTAATGGATAGATTTTTCAAAGTACAAATCACTAATAAAAAATAATTTTAAAATACATTGTTGTAATAAAAAAAAACTAAAAATACAATTTTATAATAAAAAAAATTATGAAAGTATGATTTTGTTTCTTACGTTTAGTTATTCTTTGAATAGACAAAATGCTCATTGATCCATTTACTCGACCCAAGTCTACGAGTTTAAATGGCCCAACAATTTAGCTAGCCCAACTAATTCAACCCAAGTCCATATTGGACCAAAACGATTTTTATTTTCTTTTTTTAACACCCAGAGGTTGTTTACCAAATACTTACATGGTAAGTGCTTATCGGTAAAATTTAACATTATCATTTATTCACTGGATAAGATTTTAGTCCACCAAAACGGTATCATATGCAACAATTTACCCGGTAAGCACTAACCATGATAAGAGTCGTCGCTCTCACTTATCGGGTAAGACTCTTGGTCCTTGTCTCGTTCTTACCGGATAACATTTTTGTTCCTTACCATATTCATCGGTAAGGTAATGTGACTTAGTATTCACTTACCCGAGTAAGCGTTTGGTAAACGGTCCCTCAGTTAATTCGTTTTTTTAAACGGATCAATCCAAAAAAAAAAAAATGAGACTAGTTGATCCATGTTCGATATTAGTCTTGTTTGATCCAAATCGATTTAGGATTTTCTAATAATTTTGACCAACCGATATTTCATGGCAAATCAAGACCGCTCTGTGTGCAACTCTCGAACTTAATACAGCTCTGTACTGGAATACCTAAAATACAACTTGTAGATGATTTATAGTTATTTTATTACACTTTAGTTGTCCAACGGATTTTGGAGACAACCTAAAATATTAAGTAGGTAATAACATGACCATGACCGAGTAAGAACAATTAAATGTTTTAGACATGTCACAAAGATTTTCGAGTTAGGTTTTGTTAATTAATGAGCGTATTTTTTTTATTTTATAACTAATTAGTTAACACATTAAAGAGTAAATTTAGTTTCAGTTCATGTGCTTTTTTCATTTTCCGATTTTATCCCTAAATTTTTTTATTGCAAATTTTGTTACTGTGGTATGTATTTTTGCTTGGTTTTGGTTCCTCCTACTAACAGAGGTTAACTTTCAGCCCTTAACTCACACCATGTGCATTGCATATCAGGGTAAAATAGTCATTTTAGCTCTCTCTCTTACTCTTTCTTGACCTCATTCGTACCTTTCTCCTCATTTTCCTTAAACCACTGCCAACGCCCATCTCCATTCTTCCTCCTCCACCTTGCTCCGATATGCTCCACCGCTACTCTTTCTTCATCCTCTTCCCCTTCCCCATCCTCCGCCACCAAAATCATGTCACTAACTTTGTTGCTAACAACTATCACTCTAATACTTCATTCTTTTCCTTCCTTGTACCACTGTGGCAACCTAGTCACCATCAAAGGTTCCTCCTAAGTCCTAACATCATCGTCCCTCCTTATTCTTCCTCTGTTCTAGCCAACATATTTCTCTAGATGATCATTGAATGCACTGCCACCAAATTCTTCTAACTTGACTGCATAGTTAAAGAAGTCAATGGAGTATGTATCATCACATTCTCTGATCTTCACGGACACTAAGAGTCATCGTGTTCAAGATTTCTAAAATCAAACTTAACAATGTTTCAAAGATCCAACATGCATTTTTTGTGCATTGGGCTCTTTCATTAACTGATATAAATATCAGCTAGTCCGCCATTTTTATTTTTGACAGAAAAATAAGGAGATGGCTCCATGTGCTCTGAGTCATTATGTGGATTCAGATTCAGGAACACTACCAAAGTTTTTCAAGATTTGTCGGGTAAAAGCTCAATTATTCCGTAGAATGTGAAATACAAAGCTAATTCATGTAACAGTTCCCCGTCTTTATCAACAATCAAGCTCTTTTGTAAATGCAAAGTTATCAAATTATTACATAACTTACCGATTTGCAGTAGCCCACATGTCCAAAAACCCATAACACAAATCAAGCTTCAGAAACTTAAGTTCAAGAATGGGAAATCATTGATGGCGGAAGACCAAGCAACTTGAGAGAGACTACAAGTCAATAGGATAACTTTTCCCCTCATACTTAACAGGAGGGGGTAACATCCATCAGCGAAAAGGACTGAAAACAAGGGAAAGTGCATACCACAACGACATATCACACATATGTGATGAAAAGCTGCAAGGAAATCACAAGGGTGGTGTCTGATTGGTTTGAACTTGGCTTCAAAAGTCAAATGTATCAGAAGGTTCCAGGTTCAAATCGAAGAAGAAATAAAATTCCTCTTGTGACCACGGAGGTTCAAATGCAGTGACTTCGAACCATCTGCAAAGCAAGTGGTCGCCCTGAAATTAGTCGGCTCGCATAGCGCGTTGGATATCCAGGTTAATAAAAAAAGTTGCAAGGATCAAAATGAAAAATTGACAAAGTACAAGGACTAAAATCTTAATTTAATGTATATTGAAGAAACATAAAATGTTTTGAAGTTGGGAATTGACAGACGCCGCGTCTCTCTCTCCCCTGTGCGCTGACAAATTGTTGTCTTCCTCCGCTCAGAAACAGCAAAGAAAACCCTTGAATCCATAAACCCTTCTTCTTCTTCTTCCGTTCTTCTTCTTCTTCCGTTCTTCGTCATCAAATCTCACAGATCGATCTCCATGGCTACTTCCGAACGCGAGATCTTTGTCTATACTGCTAAGCTCGCCGAGCAAGCCGAACGTTATGATGGTCGGTCAAAATTCTTCACTTTTCATCCATCTCACCGTTTATATTTCGATTTCAACACTCATTGTACAAGGAGCAAGAATTCTCGATTTACCGTTTCTGTTTTATGTGAATTCAGTTTTATAATTTTGTGATATCATCATTCAGTTGGTAGAATGGAATTTATTAAGACCGAAGTTTGATCTAACTGTTTCTACTTGTTATTCTTTTGCATAATTACTTTGATTAGTAAATACGACTTGCAAGACGTAATAATTTTAATCCAACTTACCATTCGATTTTTATGTGTTTTGTTATATTTAATTTTCAAATTCTTTGATTTCGGAGCTGATGGATTCCTTACAAGATCCTAATCTGACTTATTATGCTTGGTTTTTTTTTTTATGTTTTGCCTTTTGTCTTTCAACTTTGTTCAGTTGGAACCTGCAAATCTGGTTAATTGTTTATTTTCTTTCGTTTCTAGTCAATTACTTCTACAGATTTGATTTATTGTTCTTGTGATTTGATATTTATAGAGATGGTGGAAGCAATGAAGAAGGTTGCAAAAATAGGTGTGGAATTGACCGTGGAAGAGAGGAATTTGCTATCAGTTGGGTACAAAAACGTGATTGGTTCTAGGAGAGCCTCATGGAGGATTTTGTCATCCATAGAGCAGAAGGAGGAGGCGAGAGGGAATGATCAGAATGCAAAACGGATCAGGGAATATCGACAGAAGGTCGAATCTGAGCTCAATACCATTTGCAATGATATCATGAATGTGATCGATGATCATCTCATTCCTTCCTGTGGTGGTTCTGGTGAATCAAATGTATTCTATTACAAGATGTGAGTTCGACAATTACATTGTTTACTACTTTGTATAGAGATCTGTTATCCAACTAAGTGGTGCAAGACAATTTTTGATAAATAATTCTTTAGCACAGAATCCAAGTTTTGAATTGGGATCAAAAGTCTTGACATTTTATGAAAATTAAAATGCTTTCTATCTGACTTCCAGTTTCAAGATGTAACTTGCGTGCTCCTAAAACTTTCACATTGTTAATATGTTTGGCTATTAGATTTTCAGATTAGATGTAAGTTGAAATGTACGACTGTTGTGCTTTAGGGTTCATGATGGCTAAAATGGAATTGAAAAGGCAGAAAAGTATTTCAGTAATCTTTTATTACAAAAACTGTACTTGATAATTGCTGCTTATTGTTGTTGATGCTGCATTTATACTTCCCATTTTATAATTTTGTTGGGATATTTTTTTTCTTTCAGGAAAGGGGATTATTATAGATATTTGGCAGAATTTAAGTCTGGTAACGACAAGAAAGAGGTTGCTGATCTTTCAATGAAAGCATATGAGGTATGCAGATGACATGCAATTTCATTCACTTAATTTGTTTTGAATTAGGATATTATTTATACTACTTGTCCTAAGTAAATATCAGACACAAATCAGCTTGCCTAAATAAGCAGTTTGATGGATTGTTTTTATTTATAACGATAATGCATTTTGGTTTAAATGTCTTTATGAATTGTCCGTTACTAATTGACAGTTAGCTTGCTTCCTACCTTGGATGACATCATTTTAGTAGCATGAGTGTTATTGTGATCAATAGAAGCTTTTGCTTGCATTAGCTCAACCTCAGTTTCTTTGTGATAGTTTCCCTTTCTATTCTTATAGTGATGTATTTAAGCAATAGTTGTAAACTAGAAAGCTTCTTGTAACATTTTTATAGTCTGTTCCTTAGTCCTTCAATCTCCATTACTTAATTCAGTTTCTTTCTTCCACCCCGTTCTTTTCTCTTTTTTTTTCAACATGGCAGTTCTAGTCTATTCTTATCAATAGTGAAATTCTTTTTTTTCTAGTCACCATGTGGTGTCGTCGACGATGGAGTTTACCATTTTTGAGACACTCATGAGAATTCACTTTTTGTCTCTTGTCACTTTGTTATTTTTGTATGGCAGACATTCCAACAAAGATATGCTTTCTTGCTCTGCTTATTTCTCCATTATCTTTCTGATCCTTTCAGGCAGCTACAAGTACAGCAGAAGCTGATTTGCCTCCTACACATCCCGTTCGGTTGGGACTTGCTTTAAATTTCTCGGTCTTCTATTATGAAATTATGAATTCAGCTGAAAGGTTTGCTCTTAACATCAAGTTAAACTGATTTTGGATCAATGGGGTTTTTGCATATTAGTGAATGTGCACTCTTCTTTGTTAGGGCCTGTCACCTAGCCAAACAGGCTTTTGATGAAGCAATTTCAGAGCTTGATTCCTTGAATGAGGAGTCTTACAAAGACAGTACATTGATTATGCAGCTTCTAAGGGACAATCTCACCTTGTGGACCTCGGACATTGCAGAGGAAGGAGGCAAGTATTTTGTTGGTTGTTTATGACTTATAATTATTGTTCATGAAAAACAATTACTCAGGTTTTCGATATGCAATGGATCACTATATGGAGAATACCTTAAATTTAACTATATGATTGTGTCATATTTTCTAGTGGGTTTGTATTCGTATTAGTGTTCTAGAGGTCTTAATATGGTTACTTAAGGGGCACACATTAAGAAGTTTGTATTTCAGTCGGTAAGCATCATAGGTCTGAGTTTGTCAAGTGTTGTAATCCTTGAGGTCATCGATATATATCCTGGTCTTTTGTTTTAGTGTGTTAGAGATACACGCTTGATACATATTCATACACACATGCACTGATGCACACATACATATATATACAAACTCCCACAGCACATATACATATGTCTATCTGCATATGCACGTATACACACATATATGAGCGTATATGTGTGTGTATCGACATATTTATGTGTCTCACTGTTGGGAAAAGAAGAATTACAGTTATGACTTGTGGTACTTGACTACTTGTATGTCTTAGGAGATAGTTATGGCAGAACTATGTGCTTATTTTGCAAAGGGTATAGCTGAAGATGCTATATCATTCAAGGTTTCACCATTGAGTAGTGACGAAAGTGGATCAATTTGGCTAGACCTTTACCATGACAGCTAATTCCTCTGTGCCACTGAGTCACTTAATAGTGACAATGGAGATTTAGAATATTACATGGGTTCTTCTACCCATTGATGAATCCCTGTATCAGGTGCTTTGGCGATGCAGCTCTTCAGGGTTGTGGCAGGATGTTCACACCCTGGAATTCTTGATCATGAATACACATAGGGGTCTGTCTATAAAAGTTAACAAATTGGAAAATCTTACTCAAGGCTATAAATCTGATTAGAACTTGCTACTTTTGCCTACGAGAGAGAAAGGATGCTTAGAAATTACTTTTCCTTGGTAGTTTGGACCAATATGTGAGTGCTAACTCACTAAATAATAGGAGTACAAACATGTGAAGGCTTTAAGCTGAAATATGTTCATTTTATATATTTGATGTATAGAAATTAACATTTGTGACCATTGTATCTGGCGTTAAAGTCTTTTAACTTTCAAAAACATTCTACCTGCAAAAATCCAAGATTGTAAAGGCTTCAACATTTTTGTGTGTGTATGTGTGTGCATTTTGTATCCCAAATCTTTTAGAAACTTCAAATCTTGAATGCACCTATATTATTTGAGAAGTAAATTATGAATTCACATATATCATTGTTTGATGGCAGTGTCTTTAATTTCTATTTCATGCTTACACTCAGATTCTACATTATTTTCATATTACAGAAGATTTTCACAAACAGGATGGAGCTACTAAAACTGGTGGTGAGTTGGAGAATGCAGAGGTGGGTGGTTCATTCTCATAATGATTATATTTATAATTATAATTATTAGCATGTGGTGGGTCTGAAATTGAATTCATGAAATATTGTTGTTAATTGCAGTGAAAGGGAGTTGGTGTTGATTCCATGAAGTGGTTTGGTGATTGTGTGTGTTATAGAGGAGGATTGGTTTGGGCATTTGGTGGTTTTATCTTTTCAGTGACTGCCCATTTCCAACTCAATCAATCTTCTGTTGTCATTATTTTCTATTTTTATTTCTTTCTTTCTTGTTGGAGTGATTGAATTGAAGTTTGCAGAATTTAAATCTGTTGGCAAGGTTTCGTTAGAAACGATTATATATCGGGCATCTAAAAAGCTCACTCGACTAACTCCTCCGGATTTTGTTAATTCACTCCTATATGTGTTTGATGTCTCAAATCATATCCCTACTCTCCATTAAAGGACTATCTACTAAACGCTAACTGGGTAAACACTTATTAATCAACCGGGTGAGTGAGTATTGTAAGGATTGAGAATCTGTTTACCGGATAAGAGATGTTTACTATGTTATTTTGATGGCTGAAAATCTTATCCGATAAGATAAATGGTGGAGACTTGCCCATACCTTGTTACAATTTTTGCAAAGCATTGATGATGTGTTCAGTCGTAGTCGTACATGATGAGGATTAGAGAGAATTTCTGAAACCTGATGTGGAGTAAGAGGGACGTATAAAACGTTGTTTTCGTTAAGACCTATGACTTATTAGAGATCATGTCGTCATACACCTTAGTGTTCTCTTGACTGTATCACAGTTTTTATCATTCTCACTATAGAATAGAACTACTTTCCTTTAAATTGTATATTTCATTTATCATTGCTTAAAAATTTTATTTTAACCCTGAAAGCAAAACCCAACTCTTGAGTTTGCTTCAACTGATTTTGTGAATTCAACCAAAACTGAAGAAACCAAACAAACAAGGCTGGCCGACTTTTTATTACAACAAAATCACCAAATTTAACATCCATAACACATCTTACAACGCAAACTAAACCCTTAACTGCTCTCATATTGCTTCCTGAAGAAAACACTTCTACTTGCTAGCTTGACGCAACTCTGGTCTCACAAAATCAGCATCAGCAGGCACAGAGATGTCCACCGTAGGTCTCAACTCTGCACAAACTTTCACAGCTTCGTGCACCGGATCTTCGAAGAAGTTGCTGATCAGGTCCTGGTTAAGCGGGGTGCCGTTGTCAACCGCAACTAAAGCCTGTTGGGTAAGAACGTAGTCGAATCGTGGAGCCCATTTCCTTGATCCCAACCTTGCAGTTGTTGAACAGTTGTCCACCATAAACGACACACCTCGAGCATGCATGAACGGGTTCAACGAATCTACAGACTCGATTAAACTTTCATTGATGATCTCAGAATAAGAATGTCCTTTCTTCCTCAGCACCTCGATCTGTGGTTTTTAATCAAGCATTTCCGGAGAAAAAATGAAAAGAATCTGTAAGATTGCATGTACTCGTCACTTTTGATCCTACTCAGGTTAACTAATGAAAGCATGGCTCACCTGGGCCATCATTAATGCCACATAGACACCAGCTGTGAAAGGATATAACGGGCCTAGATCACCAGCTGGTCGGCTAGCGCGAACCCGTTCACCGACCTTCCACATCCGAGTCTGATCAATCTTTCCCATAGGGAAGGCTGGTAGACCCTCCTTTTCCTGCAAATGACAGAACCAAAATAATACTTTCATCATCATTTATTTCTTATAAAAAATCCAAGATCAATTAGGGTATGTATGGCACGCAAAAGGGACTAGAAAGGACTGGACGAGCGAAACACAGTGAGGTAGGAGGGTGAAAGAATTGTGAAAGGTTTTAGGGTTTTAATATGACATGGGTAGCTTAGTAATTTACCAATCTTATCCTATCTTTCTGATTGTCATTCTCCCTATTTTACTCAGCTTTGTCCTAAATCGCACCAAACATGAGACTAACAAGTTCATATAATGTCATGTCGTGTCTTCTCCCGGGTACCAAATGCAGCCTTAAGTAACAAGGAACAAAAGAATCGACCAAATGGAAGATGCAGAATAAGCTTACATAAAATCGACGCCCAGCCAAGACAACGCTTCTTATCTCGCTGCCACTGGCAACATCCTCGTAGCACTCGTACAGGATGTCCATGCAAGGATAGTAGGAGGCGCTGTATGCTGTCAAAAACTCTTTCTTGCCTTCTTCCGTCAAAGACTCGTATACAGCCTTCATCCCCTGTTTTAATGGAGGTTTCAGGAGAAATGTAATAAGCATAATGATCTGGGAATAATTTAAATAAACGAAGGTAGCAGCCATAAGGCTTAGCCAATATTGTCCTTGATGTACTGAAAGGAGCTAAAAGAGTTCGATCATAACAGCTAGGGAGTAAAAACCTGAGTCGATATTGTCTTTGATATTATCCCAGTTATGCACTCTACGGTATTTTTATAAGCCAAATCTTCGCTCATACCGCCTTCTGTATACCTTCTAAACAAAGACTCCACAATACCATGCACCGCACCAAGTAAAATACCTAATAATTGCCACGAGGAAAGAAATTTATGATACTGAAAAGGTAAAGACTATGAAAGGCAACGAAGTGAAAGCCTCACCTCGCTCCCCAAATATATCACTCTTGTACTCCTGCTCCAATGTGGTGGCAAATGTAAAGGGTGAACCAAGAGCAACCGACCATCCAAGCGCAACATCAGTGGCTCTTCCATCAACATCCTGCCCAGATATATTTGAGTAGACATTAAATCGTCAGGAACAAAGACACAAAAGTAGACATACACATACCAAAAGCAGCAAATCCCATTCAGACATAGGGTAGGGGATAGGATGTACGCAAACCTTCCTTCCACCACAAGGGATAGAAAGGTGGTTTCAATGGAATCCTTCAGCTTGCTAAAACATACACAAGTACAAAAGACAACCAACCTGATGGACACCAAAACTTGCATTGATCCCAGCTCCATTGATCTCCTTTCCTTGGACATACAGCCTCCTCACTGATGGACCCATTCCTTTGGGACACACAGCAACCACGCTTATATTCTTGGGGAAATCAAGGCCGACTGATTGCAGGTGTCCAAGAAGAAATCCATGGGAAAGTCCAAGTATGCTGTTTGGCTTCATGTGCGAGAAGATTTTCTCATAATTATCAGCCTGCAATGACAAAATGACATTAGGGACAAAGTTGCATGTAAAGGTATGTTCATAGACCATACAAAATTCCCAACTTCGGTTTTATGAAAAGAAGATGAAATGAAAAATTGACAAGATCCCATGACCAAGAAAGCCTATTTGGGATCATTTTTAGATCCATAATAAATAAATATTCATCCACTAGATATAACTGGTGGTTCCTTCTTTCCAGAATCTTGTTGCAGACTCATAGTAATGCATTCCTCGCTGCCTCCGTTGATGTATACCTACAACTCAATGTTATGTGAACATGGGACCATTGGGGCTAACTCGCCCATAAGAACCAGGCTCCTTAGTCTCAGTCTCAGGACAAACTAGGCCTAGTCCCATTTGTGCACCTCTGTTGATGCATATCCTCTCATTCTTAAATTTCTATCCATTCAGATCTATCAACGTTCACCAGAAGAAATGGCTTTGTAAGCATTTGACAAATGTGCAAGGTACAAAAGGCAGAAGCTTCAAAAAAGTACACACATTTATATCCTGAGCATTGCATATATGAAAATGCAGAAATAGAGAAGAGAACAATGGTTGAAGCGAACTGCAATCAACTAACCTGAGCTGAATCAGATATTAACAGCAGGACCAAGTCACTGCCAGAGATAGTCTCATAAATATCACCAAGAGTTCCATTTTCTTCAGAGAAACCAGCAGCACGAGCCTCGTTAAATGAACTCGAACCCTTTCGTAACCCAATCTGTTTTATAAGGTGAATCGTTAGAATGTCAGTGCTCAAATGCCATGATTACCAGCACAGGTAGAAAGACAAAGGGGTAATTCACCTTCACTATAATATCAGATTTTGCTTCAGCAAGAGAATCCCTAAGGTTTTGAGCTTGAGCTGGACCCTGCATAAGATCCCAGTACCAAAATTATTAGCATATCTGTAAAGAAATATCGATCAGGAAGATAATCAAACACCTTCTGGGCATTTCATTAAGAAAAGATATAACAAATATCATTGCTTCTTACTTTCTACAAGATTCAAGTTTTACTCTATTCGAACTAATTTGATACAAAAAGCTTGTTCATGATGATGTATTTGAAGCAAACATCATCAATGGAAAGTAATACCATGCAGCAAATACACCATGTAAATAGTAATCTGAAATGATGCCCACATAAAAACAATCTTCCGTTCACTAATCCAATCATGTCTACTATCCAAAACTACAAATCGAGGTAATCAAAGCAATAATTTACAAACCTGAGAACCCCATCCAATTACACCAATCTGCTTGATACCTTTGAAGGCATCAGGCAACAAATGGAACAAATCTCTTCCTCCTCTCACAATATACTACACAAACATTCAAAAAAGACATACAAATGTGTTAGCAACAAACAGAGGATACGTAGATGCACATACATATACATATATAGAGAGAGGGAAGAAACCTCGTCATAACCAGCAAGGTTAATCTTCTCCTTATTGAAAACCGAGGTTTCGAAATCAAGGAACTTTGGAGACTTGCTTATTTGCGACACCGAAACCATACGAGCACCAAGAGCAGATCCAGAACCGCCATTGGAGGGGAAAGCACGAGCTCTGAGGGATTTCGAGGAAGGCTGGGAAGACAGAAACCCCACATTAAACCCTAAAGTTTTGGGGGCGAGCTTGATAGAGGCGGAGGATGAGGTGGTGGGTGCCAATGTTGCGAAGGAGGTCATCGTCGGCGCCGCCATTAGTACCTTGAAATGTGATTAATGGAGGAGAAACGGCGGAGGAAGGTATCGGTGTTCTGTGTCTGTAGCCCTACTTATACGCGATATGGTCTAACATGAGCCGCAAGTGCCGTGCGCATGGTTTGAATAACATCCACTAAACTACACTTTTGGTCCCTGCAGTATATGAAAAGTTACGGATAAAATTCATATGGTTTATTTATTACATTGGCAGTCATTATGGTTTATAAATTTCTTACGGGTTTCATCACTCAACCCAACAGTCGTTAGTGGAGGTCGGTTAAATCACCTCATGTGGTCATTACGGTTTGTAAGTTCTTACAGATTTTATCTATCCTCCCACAAACAGGTTCTGGATCTGAAGGTCAGTAAAGTCTCCCAACGTCAGGAGCACGTGAGGTAATTTTGGTCTTTTTTTTTCCTTATTTTCTTATTTAATAAATTTTAATATTAATATGTTTAAAGGTCTCTTTGTTAGAAGTTTAACGAGACTTATAATTTATTTGTTCAGCTATAAATGATTGTTTGGTAGTGATTTAATGATATAGAAAATAGTTTATTCAATAAGCTTTTAACATTTTTCACAAATAAATAATAAAATAAACATGATTACAAAACTATATTAAATAATAATATGAAGAGTAAGTTCTATTTTGGTCCCTTATGTTTGTCCATGCCAACAGATCATGTCCCTATATTTCATTTACTTGGTTTTGGTCCCATACGTTTGTCCATTTTCAACGAATTCCATCCATCCGTTTAATGACGGTTAGATTTAACCATTTAATATGGTTAAATAAGATGCATTTGGGTCACATGTTTCATCCTGAAGAAACCCATCTCCCTCTCTGACAACGACTAGTATCCAACGAACGCAACCAAATTTGCAACGTGCATCTCATGCTCCTCGATCCGCTGCAACCTGCATCTCATCTACTTCCGACACCAAGATAAAGTTTGCATCTACCAAAACTTTCTCATCTTGTTAGATTTTGATTTTGGAGTTTAAGTTTTAGGGATTTGATTTTTGGTTTTGTTGGTGATGTTCTTGATATATCTAATGTATTCGAGATATTAAATTTGTATATATTGTGTTTGGAATGGTCAACCACTCTATATGTGTTTGTATCAACTTGGGTTTGTTTTGAGTTTTTGGGGTGCGTGAGTGCGTCTTATGTGGTTCGAGAAGATGATCAAGAAAAAGGTGGTGGCGGCGACGGCTATAAATGTGAGGTTGATCTTGATATTGGGTTGGTTTTTTGTTTTTGTTTTACAATTTATAATAATATAATAAGGTGTCAATAACAACCGTAGATGACACCAAACCTTTCCATTTAATGCTAATTATTTTTCTAGCTTGGAATGTTATAGATCAAAAAAAGTAACGAAACGATAAGGGTGTTCAAAATTTGGTTCGATCAATAAATCAAAGAACTAAAAGTTTTGTTCCAGAAAATCGAATTTCATCTTCAGTTATATATTTTGGTTCGGTCTGCTCCAACTCAAACATCAAAACCGAACGCACACCCCTAGTCGTAAATCAACGACAGATATAAGAGCATGTCCACATCAATTGAACAACATCGTATTCTCTAACTTGTATTTCTCGAAACTGAATTTGCCCTTTTCGTAAATGGATCATTCAAAATCAGGGCATGCATTGAACTAAATTTGTCCCGGGACGAATTTTGAAATGCTTTTTAGAGATTTCTTATAGTTATCAAAAGTAAATCAAGCATGTGTTGCACGTATGACTTTTTTTTTCAATGAATGCCGAGTAGGAGAAGTAATGAAAAGCGAACTTATTAGATGTTTCTATGTGGGGACGTAATTTTTAGTCATGTAGTATACAAATTTAAATGAGTCATTAAATTTTAGGGCAAAAACAAGGTTTGCCGTCTTGAAGATGTACGCTGACACAAATCTTGAAAAAAAAAGAAGTGGAATATATCTTTTTTTAAAGTAGAGTACAAATTTCATCTTCTGATTGTTTATTAATCTGCAGGCTTGATTAATTACTTGTTCAAAATAATAAGTTATCAACAATAGAAGAGCTTTTTGATATATCTATTAAGCCAATACAAAAAAAAAACACCACCACCAAGACTATGAAACGGAAAGAAGAAGAAAAGCAAGGTCCGAAATCAAAAAAGACCCGACAAAACCCACATCTAAAAAATGGACTAGACGGCGAAATCTTGACCTCTACACCATCCCGATTATGACAAGTTAAAACATTTGGACGTCTATACCATTTTGATCATGACAGACTGAAAGTTTTGTTAGCAGATTGTTTACAACCTTATCATGCAAATTACTCATATATTATTACTCATCGTGCTCCATAAAACAATGGACAGTGAATGTTGCACTTTTGTATAAAATTATGTAGCAATAACCATGTTCTTTTGTATTGAAAATTTATTAGAAGTTATATGTTTTAGAATCGAAGATCATGCTTTCAAGATGCTGTAAGCATGTTCAGTCATGTTTATAAGTTGTGTGCATGCAAGATTGAACACTTAGGTCCCATTTGGTTTGTGAGATTTGGAATTAAATTTCATTCGAATTTAATGTTGGTTTGAAGCATTTCCTGAATTTGAAATCCCGTAGGCATAGGATTTAGAAACCCCACAGACGTGGTTGGTATTATCAGCTTTTTATGTCTGATTCATTAAGATGTAGAGTCATTCAGACTGCTTGTTTGTTTCAATTTTTCAGAGACACTTAAGTCTTATTGTTTTCTTATTTGGTAAGAGGTAAACCAACCTCTTATTTGCCTCTTATTGTTCTTCAAACCCTCAACAACGACGTTTCTCAATCGATTAATCTTGGTCAATCATATCTCTCAATCGATACCTTACCAAATCAATCTTCACATATCTTAATTGATGTATTTTTAATAAGATTTAAATGTGTTAAATACCGTTAATGACATATTTTCATTTAAATGAATGTTAATTATATAATTTAGATGTAATGATGAATAAATATGTGAACTTGTATAAGTTTATCTATAAATTCAACACTATGATTTTTAAAAAGTAAAATATATAATTTAAACAGTTTCAGATGTTTATCGGTTTACAAAAACAAACAGTCTTATTGATTCAGATTTCAGACTTCAACACCACGTCTTATAAATTAAAAGTGAAATAAAACTTCAGATTTTAACACCTCTTAAAAAACAAATACCATCATATATATATATATATATATATATATCGCAAAAATTAAGAGAGCATAAGCATTTAAAAGTACTTGTTCACAACTCCACATAAAACGATTTTAGAAAATTTCTCAAATTAATTCATATACAAAGGTAATAGAGGAAACATAAAACCATTAAAGTTTGGTTTGCTGGAATGAAATAAATATATAGGGATTTGGATTTCAAATCCATTCTAATCTCATGTTTGGTTTGTTGCATTGTCCGAATTTGAAATCCTACAAACATAAAGACCGGTTCGAGATGATCAGATAAACACAAATTAGTTGCATAATATTGAGAGCTCATGTTATTGTTCGGATACATCGTAGAATATTCATACCCTCTTCTAAGAAACCATCTATAACATGTTCTCTTACCAGTGTAAGTGTTTATCGGTCATTTATTGCCAAATTCGCTTTGCATCAATATTCCGATTATCAGTTCCTTTATGGTCGTTTCATTTTATGGTGTAGTTTGGACGTGCTATGATGCCATAAAAGTGGCTCGATGGCCACTGATTCGGCCGAACCGTTGTTCACGACGGAAAAGGGATTTAAAACCGAAAGTCAGACAAAATTAGAGGTGTCTGGTTTCTCTAGCTAGTGTAAGAACATTTTCAACAGATTATCCAAAATAAAGAAAATAGAGTTTTAGACAAAATTTTACTATAACAGATTTTCTAAAACTTCATCTGGAAGGGTAGAAAGATGAGGGAGATGAAATTCTTCAATTTTGAAAAACTTTTCAAAAGTGATTACATGGTTAGAGACAAATAATTTTTTATTATATTCCACAATAAAAAGCCTATCAATATATATATCTATACTATATTATAAAACATTTGACAAAAACTCTTAAAAATCATTTTTTATGCATGAAGTACTGTATATTGATGCATATTACTTAAAATTCAA